TAAAAAAACGTCTATATAGTAATTTAGAATCTTGAATCTGGATCTTGCTCCAACAGACTAGAGTCTGAGTCTCTACTGAGTCAATAATGATGATCAAAGTCCCAGGGAATGGTCAGAACTCCCTGATCCACCCTTTGTCCCAGCGGAGAAGGCCATCGTAGCCAGGTCTCCTCGCGATCCTCCATATCGGTCACGCAGAACGAAATAGGAACACGTCTAGCACCCAATGGTTCCTCCTTTCGCGTGAGATGAAGTATCGTTGAATTGGAAATGATTTTTTGTGTATTCTAATATGACGTGCCATTGGGTACGCGCAGCTTCCTATCGTCGACGAGCGAAACCGTGTGAGAGGGCACCGAAAGAACCTCATAGACGCCACTACGGGGTCTCTTAAACGCTTCGGAAGAAGAGTTCGAGCGAGAGTTTCATCGTGGCGACGCCTATGGGGTCGAAAGACACGGAGATCCATCCGCAGAACGCGACGTCTGTATTCAAAACGATCTTTCACTCACTCTGAATTCGATCCTTCGAGTCGACCACGACTCTGGAAGTCTGTACTAATTTCCTTAATAATTTTTTTTTTTTTTTTTTTTGTTGTGTGTGTGTGTAACGAGTTATATACTCTCAAAACATTGATTGTATAATTCAAACTATCTTCCACTCAAACGCGGTTCATTTTAATGTCTGCTCGAAGATCGAACTGCGCCTTTTAGAAACGCTTCTGAAACAGCGATAGAGCACTAGTAGCCCTGTGCAACAATGTTTTGAGCACAGATCCGCGACGACGTCCTCGAATCAGAGGTTACTAGTCCCCCGATTCGATCCGATTCTGCTTCCCTCGTTGCAACCTCGAAGACGCGAGATAATTCGCGATCGCGGGTCCTCTGGTCAACGAACGAGGCTTGAACGATGGATCTCCGTTTCTGGAACTCGGTGTCGAGCTCGGCCATCTTATGATAAATGTTAGCTCGGTAGAAGGCTGTCGCAATGGCGGCCATCCTCTTTCTTCCCGTTCCGAAGTGCCAGAAATGGGCAAAAGTCAATCGATTATTATATTAAGAGCTGACACGACACTTATCGAAGATGTAATAGTCTCTACAAGGTTTCTTAAAATCAATTTTTAATTTCATCAATTTATTTTCACAAAAAGTTGTCTCGTTAATCGTTGAATCGAATAAACGTTTCGATCTGAAACGTACGGAAAAATACTGATAACTGTTGCCTGTTCACCTAAACGAGATCATTTTTTTTTTTTCTTTTTTTCATTTTCATCGCATTGCATTGAACTATTGAACTCGCGCGAATTCGGTCGTGAAATTTCGCTGTAAACCAGGTTCAGTCACGGAATGCCATTGCGACAGGCCACGAGTGCGTAATCATGCGCTGACACGTAAATGTCTAGAGAGCAAAGGCTTGATCTGTTGTATAAATTAGTAGTGACGTACGTCGTTGTATGTGCCGCATCGTCCTTCTCGTGAGAACCGCAGGATGCAAAAGGATGATCGATAAGTGTTCATATACTGCTCGAACAAAATTTCAGAAACCCCCTTCTCCCCCTTCCCACGGGAATCTCTTCGTAACCCATGTTTGTATTCACAAGAACTTTATTTTGAGTTTTATGTTATCTCTCGAAAAAGGAATTGTTTCGTAGGTGCATCGATTCGTGAATACGTTAATTATTATTTATTGTTCGAATAAAATTGCGTTTGACTCCGGCTCGATCCCATCGCTTCTTTCATTGAATGCTGATCTCTGAGCATCCAGAGTCATCGGTAATGAAAAGAGAAGCCTTGGAATGGACAAACGGTCTTCCAAGTCGATTTTTTCCCCAACTCTTACCCGTAGATTTCTAAACAAACCACCGTGAACGAACGTTTCGTTCCTCTGAAAGTGACGAATTGCTCAATTTGCTGTAGCGTCGCAACCCCTGACATCCACAAATTTATCTCGCGAATGGTTAGGGAAGCGGAAACCCGACGACACCGGAACGATATTTTCACGTACGTCGACCCAGTGTGATATGTGTCCTTAGAGCAGCGTTTCCCAAACTTTTTTTCGTCCCTCCAACACTTTTCGTCGCGTTCAAAGAAGTTTAAATTTCAAAGAGCGTTTGTACCTCTTTGGGTCATTTGTTTTCCAAAATGGAAAAGATACAATTAACGCTCGAGTTGCATTTCATAACACGTGCCTACGAGTCATACGATATAAATTATGATTTTTCAAAAGAAAAAATAAGTTGCACTGCATTTTTAAGTCAACATACAGTGTTCCCCTGTTCGATTACTTATGCCAGTCCAATGTTAAAAACTTGCTAACGTTGTAAACGTGATGCCTGTGGTTTATTTATTTTATTATTTTAATTATTCTGGATCTCTCACGGAACACAGTTTGAGAAACGCTGCCTCAGAGCGATCAAGTTAAATTGCTAGACTCCCAAGTAGTATGACTAATGCGTTACACGTCCAGTGAGATTAAAAATGAAGATCGACGGTACGGGAAATTAATAATTCAACGGGCGAAAGATACGGGACACGAATTCACAGTTTCTTCCCTTCGGTTTGAACCACTATGAATAATTTAGAAAAGATACGAGAATTAACTCCAATCGCGATCGAGTATCACTCTAACCTCTCCCCCAAAAGAAACCAAAAGCTCTGCAAGTAACTGTTCGGTAACTATCCCACTATGCTGCAATATTCGAAAGGCTTTCTACCCTTACTAAGTCAACACGTTCTCCCTTAGACTATTAATCGTCGCGTTTAGTCCTCGTTTTGACCCGCAACTCCACGTCCAGAATTTTCGTGACATCTTCAATTTAACAATAATTAATATATTCGAACTTCAATTAATTTCTAACTTCACAAAAAGTTAACCACTGACTCCTGAACTCCTTCATCAACCTCTGTGTAAATATTTTATCACTAGACTGCGGAATTTTATGTACTTACACGAAACTTGAAAGTGGAACAAACTACAAAATGCACACATCATGGAAGAGTATGCATAATTATTGAACGTTAAAGTTCGTATTACAACATCTCCAGAGTAAAATAAACTCCTACTTAGATTCAATTTCTGTAGGTTTATTTGTTTAGATTTTACTTTGCATAAAGACCAGCAGTCTGTTCATCGCGTTCTAAATATCTTCTAAAAACAGGATCTTCCAATTTCCAAAAAGTCCGTTGAGAAATTCTCCCGTGTACCATCGCTATCGCGTTATCCGAGTCGCATTCCCATGTGTGTCGTGAAAATTCTAGCGTGCGGTTGCGGGTTAAAGTATAGAGGGGAAAACGCGTGAAAAGAAATCTGAAAAAAGTACACCGAAACGAAAAAGAAAGAGAAAAAAAAGCTATTGCGAACGAGAAAGTAGGCAAGTAGCGGTGAATTTACCAACGGCGAGCGGTAAAGCGCCGCAGTGACCGATGGTGCGTACGTATCTCGCGCTCAGCCTGCATGTGCATGCGACCTCTTTCTCTTGCATCTCGTGTTTTTGCATAACAAAACACCCCTGGATATACAGCCACTGGTGGCCTGCACGTAGACGCCATATACACGTTCGCACCGGCTTCACGTTTACACGTGCAACCGCACACGCGTCACGGTAGCTGCGTGCATTTGTATGCAATGAGCTTGTGCTATTATCCTCGTGCACATACTCTCTCTGTATGCATATATAAATATACGATACGCGTGTGTACCGAGTGTCCCGTTAAGTACGCGATTGAATTTACACGTTGGACATTTAAGTACTGGATTGCCGTGGTTTTCGATAACAGGAGTCTGGTTCTCAGGAGTTTTGTGTTGCGAGGCTGTGAATTTTGATTGTAGCCGGTGGTAGTCACCGCGAGGAATATTTGAGTGGCGACTACTTTGAGATTTGAGAAGATTTTTTGTAATTGCGTTGGACACTTGGGGTCTTAAGACTCTGTAGAGACATTGGCGCCATTAGCGAAGAAAGGAACGACCAAAAGGCCACTTGTGCGCAAGGCAGATGCATTCACCTCGCGCAGAAGTGACTGTCTGGTACCTAGTTTCTCCATTAGCGGAGTTAATGGCTGTCTATAAATTTCACAAGCCTTACTAGCAATTTCTCGCTCCTGTTACCAGTAGTTTTATCCTTTCCTAAACTGTAAAGATGGCAACCCTCGGCAATAAGGCTCGAGTAGCCGAAGAAAGAAATCATCTTCCGCCACTCGATCCTCCCTCCACGCCGTATAAATTTAACCCTTGTACTTCCGGGACACCCCGTGTGCACAGATTTCTACTTACGTTCTTCGCCTCTTCGTGACAAAAGTTGACTTCGATGGAACCAAGACTTTTAACGAGTCCACGCGAAACTCTTGCTAGAAATTGTTCGTCGAAACCGGCGACGAGCAAAGTTTAAAGCTGGATAAAAATTTCGAGTAACGAACAAAAGCTTCCTTGCCAAAAGGAACTTTGCCAGGTGCCTCGAGACACAAAGGAAAAAGTGAAATTCTGTACATCGAGACTAATACGCACACGCTCGTCGCGTGCACCGAGTTTTTTGGCTGTAGTATTTGCCGTTGTTGTTTGCCGTGAGACCCGACGATAACGAGTGATTATTATTTATTTATTTATTTGTTAAATAACATAATCACCGGGTAAGCTGTGGTATGAATAACGTAGTTGCCGTCGAGTTCGATTCGTTCCGCGATCGAGGGGTCGTGGGACCAATCCGTGATGGCGATCTCGCGAAGGCCAATGAAATTCCTCGATATTCCTTTCTCCGAAGAAAATCGCCAAAATCCCGTGGACAATTTCACAAGCTTCTGCGCATCGTTTCTCTGGCGATTAGAAGGATAGCCATGCTACTCGAACCTGGTAGCTCGCTGGTTGATCGCACGCTAGCGAGAGTAGACGTAGCGTTCGACACTGTCGTTTAGGATCGACCTGCCTTCGCGATTTTGTCGATCACCCCGTGTCTGTGCAGAAAATTCGACGATCTCGATCGTTCTAACTCGATGCTCTCGCTTTTCTAGGTGCAGCAGCCAATCTACGCAAGGAGGTAATCAGAAACAAGATCAGAGCCATTGGCAAGATGGCGCGCGTCTTCTCCGTCCTCAGGTCAGCATTATTATATTTTGTACTGTAATATACAGTGTGGTATAACATAGAAAGGAGATATGTAAACAAATTTGCTACGTTAATTTCAAATAATCAGTAATCAATATTATTATTTGTTATTAGAAATATCATGACATAGTTAATTTATAGAGCGAATCCAGTGTAACTGGAAAAGTAAAATTCACGCTTGCATTTATCTCGTCCAACTTTGTTCGCAGTTCGTAGCAATTTTTAGTGATTCGGTCGTTCCCCAGGCGTAGCTCGCGTAATTAATTCTGTTTACGGTTGATACTGCTTGCGGCTCTCTGGTATAAACCGTGTCCTTTCGGTAAAGTGTTCCAACGTTCCTCTGGCATTGCAGTAAGCTGCATTAACAGGTTAGATTACACGCGGAACCAACGTGTTATGCGACCCTCTGGTCCTATGCGCCGCTGTATCTTCTGACCTCCCGATGAAATTACCTCCAATGCCACGAAACGTCAAAACGCTTTTCCAGACGCAGCTGAAACCATCAAGCTGTGTCCAACGCAACATCTGTGACATATGACTAACTCTGGCAGTTGTGAAAACGACTTCAACAGACAAATCATGCTTGAGAATATGAAGTGTTGATACGCACCTAGGGGAAGCCCAGATTAGATTAGGGATATTTTCTTAAGCAGCTCTGATTTGTTTAAAGAATCACGCTACATACGGAATAATATATACGAAAATATTTTTGACTCGGCAAATACTAGTTGATTAATATTAAAACTCAAGAAAATATGTATTAAAATTGTTGATAGCCCCGATAGCTTGCAAGCAGGTGCAAGCCCCGATAAGTTTAGGTTCCGATATCCAATTAACGATACCCCGTTAATAACGGCCGAGCGAGGCAGTCACGTTTTCGTGGCGATAAATTATCCCTAATTGGTTGGAATCTCGACGTCCACCAATCACGTGATTCGATAAATACGGTATTTACTTGCACGGGAACGTGGACCACCGTCGGAAGTCCCTGTTGAAGAAGAAGGGTGGGGGCGCGATGATTTTGTCGACGCTGCCGCAGAGACTAATGGCATAATTGGTTCGACCAGTGGAACAATCGCGCATCGGATTACGCGATACGATTCATTAACGATAGAAAAACGGTCCACGGTTGCATTCAAATCGATCGAAGCTTCGCTGTTCGACTGCGATCGCGCGAGAAAGAGTGCAGCAGCCTGCGCTGTACAAGGAGGAAACACTTAAAACTGGTCCAGACGACTGGTTTACTTTTTACGATGGTAAGAAACGCGATATCTGACAGAATTATCGTTTCTTTCAGGGAGGAGAGCGAGAGCGTGTTACAGCTGAAGGGTCTGACACCGACTGGGGCACTACCACTTGGCGCGTTATCTGGTGGCAAGACGTCCCTAAAAAACGGTAAACGTTCGCACATGTGAAAACTATAGCTAAGCATCGATATTATTGATGCAGTTACGTCGGCATTATACTAATCGTCGATCAATCTTTCCAGCTCTCCAAGGCTTCTCGCCGAACCACAAAATCACTTCGTTCGCAGAGGCAAAGGGTCTGGACGCCATAAACGAAAGGATGCCGCCAAGAAAGGACGCCCCGCCCACGCCGGTAAACGAGGAGAAGCCCGTGATAAAGCCGCCGACTCCTGCGGGAGACAAGCGAGACCACACACCGCAACCGCAATCGTGAGCCTCACACTCGTCCAATCAAGGTACACATCACACCCACGTGGATGATCCTGACTCGGGGAGATTATTCCTCTCACGATCGATCTCTCTCCATTCAACATGGATCAGGATCTACGGTACCGCGCGTGGCACCTGCCAGCTAGAATCAAAGATGGGTAAAATTTCGTTGCAGCAGACTACTTCAAATTCGATTTGCACACGCCACCGACCAATCATCAGATTTTTCTCTAGTTGCCCATCTCTGGCAGGATTCACGATTGGTGAACGATCGTCGGCCCGAGGATCGTTCGCCAATGCGGGCCCGTGAGCTTAACGGAAACCAGCTGAAAGTGTATTCCCAGCTGCAAGAGCATCGGCGTTATTCGAAGCATCACTACACTGCGAACGATAAAGTCGATGCGTTAAATAGAGAAGTTTCCACGAGTGGATCGTGTATCGAAAAATCACAACGAAAGCTGCTCGATTGACACCGATTAACGTCATGCACGAATTGCACGAGTCTCGGTTTCGATCCAGGGCAATTTTGATTAATCAATCGCGTACTAACCTGGTGTCTACGTCACGGCCAACTACAGAGAGACACGTGGATTCACAGCTTCGTGTTGTGTTGCACGATAATCGAGACGCTTTGTCGACCGAACGCGTTGATCCTGAAGAATCGTCGTTGACGATAATTCCGTGGAAAGAGATTCTTCGATTCTCAGAGGAGGTAGATTAGGTCTGACAGGTTCAAACTTAGAGTAGATTTTTTAATTACGATAGGGTTAGAGAAATGTCTATGAAGACCGATCAGTACTTTGTGATCTAGGTTAAAAGACCCACCTGAGAACTCTGGGTTAGATTGCAACCGGATATTTATTACTAGAATGCAGATGGTATGCATTTATGCTGTACATTAACACGATATGTAGATAAATGTTTTATAAATTAGCGTAGCACCAGGAATATTTAATTTTGCATAAATGCATGATGTGTTCTCTATACGTTCGACATGAATGCATAAAATCTATATTCCAGTAATTACGACAGATGTTTGGAATTTGAGCCAGGATATTACATTTCGATAAATGCATCAATTTCTATAGCACCATCTGTTTCCCATTAGTGCAAGGTAGTGGTCCTCTTACGTTTCAAAAATTTGTATTCAAGGGTTCTTTAATTGGACTTTAGGTCACCTTTTCCCATCTTGATTTAGAATCAATGTAAATTATACACAAAGTTCGATATTACCTACTCGAGGCAACTAATTTGCAGTCTATCGTCGAGGTTGCTGGTCCATCTCCATAAACTCGGACAGTATCTGCCAAACTTTCTAACGTATCCCGAAGTTCGAACGGTATTGTTGTCTTCTCGGTAACTGCTCTCGATAGAATTAAAGTCAAAGTAGTTGCGTCCGTTTATTGCCAAACCTCGGGCCATTGGAAACGCTCACAGGCGCACGAATATTCCACGAAGTGGTCTTTCGAAGAATCGTAAACCGACGCACGCGTTTTATCGTCGGCGACGAACGAACGGATGTATTGCTTGAATATTTGGAAACGATCCCTGGAGTGACGGGATTATATGGCGCTAGTTAAAGTATTTCTTACGTTATTTTATTTACAAATTTCATAAATACGCTTCACATGAATTAATGAAGAATTAAGTCAGAAGTCACAATAAAAGGTTTCACCTCCTAAAGGCGGAACACCGGCTCCACCACGCTCGAGCCACGCCCCCAAGGGAGCTTTTCCATGTACCCAAGCTATAGATCCTCGTACAATCGCGTTCGTGGTCTCACTCTGTCGACAAAGTGTTAGCGAAAGAAGTCGAGGCTCCGTTGAACGTTTTTTTCAGGTGGCAAGGATGGGTCGTAAGATCCAAGTGCTGTCGCCGCCGCCACCACCGTAAGATCCAAACCATTGCTCGTCTCTCCCCCCCGGTTGTTATCACTAGCGCGCTGTTTGTCGAGCCAGGAAGGAATCGTCGCGGCCGCGAGGAAGACCTCGAACGCGGAGAGGACTGCCACGCTCGTCGACGCGAGAACCACGGGTGTCGTCGCTACTGCACCCACAGGTCGTGTCTCAGAGCAGCGGGCAGACGCTGCGAGGGATGTCCACGCCGACGATGGAGACGGTCCACGGGTCTGACCCCGTTTTGCGCGCGATTCGCGCGTCGTTGCAGCTCGCGTCCTAAACGGGGAGTGTTCGTCTCGCGGGAGGTTCTGCGCGATCGTCGTGCCCTCGTCTCCTTTGTCCTCTTTCTCCCGTCGGACGACGACGACGACCACGATCCCTGTTCGCGTTGGATCGAAATTTAGAGAACGATAGCTTGGGAACAATGACGACGGAGGAGGGACGAATCGAGCGCTGCGATCTCCGTGTGTACGCGCACCTATTGGTGGACAGACTCGGGTTCCAGAAGAGTTTGGGGCTCGCTCAGGCTGTCAACTTTCCCTTGGATGAGAGTTTGCTTGAGGATCTTTACTAGAACCAGGACCTTTTAACATCTGGGTCTCCAGACCTCTCCCATCTGGTTTATACCGGAAGGTTAATGGCATGAGCGAGCCCATAAGAATTGCAATTTTAATGAGGAATTTTTAGGGAGAATAGGGACGTCCTATCGAGTAGATTCACACTATATAAAAATATGATTTTATTCGTTCTATTTTTACGATCTTAATTCAAATTTGTTACGATCTGTGATATTCCCTGTAAATGGAGATCAATTTGGAAAAATATTTTTTAGAGTTGCACAGCAGAACAAGCTCCACTTCTGTTGCCATGTATCAAGCATATTCCAACGTTTTACACAAAGCAACAGAAAGGTGGGACTCTGCAGAGCCACAACGAAATGGCGCCACAGGAGATCGATCTCTCCTACAGTGGCGCCAAGACAAACGAGCTAAGAGTCTTCATTCCGGTGGGACCTCTTGCAGAGAGTAGGTATCATAACCGATCATTATGCGCGCGTAGACACGGAGCAAGGGCAAAAGGGAAGAGGGTCGCGTGTAAGTCGCGTGTAAGTCGCGTGTAAGTCGCGTGTAAGTCGCGTGTCGCGGTCGTTTAAACGCCGAGGAATCAATCTGTCGTCGTCCTCGGTGGTCTTCGACGATCTCTCGTTTCCCTCGATCGCCGCGAGATAGCGATCCAGGCACGGGAACACTTCCTCCTCCCTCCGTAACAAACGCGAGGCGAACATACGCGAGGTGTAGAGAAATGAAAGATTTAACGGGGATTTAACAAAAAAATAAAAGAGAATAAAAAATGAAACGAAAATAAAAGGTGAAATGAAAAAAGAGGTAAATAAAATAAAAAAAGGCAGCTGGCCTGTCGGTACGGCGGAGCTTCCGGTTTTAGGATTTACTAGGTTCTTAAGGAGTCCGCCCTGGGTGGTGCAAGGGCATCCCCGCGACAGGGTGGGGTTACTTAAATCTTAAGTCGAGCTAAGCTTAGGGTTAAGCCGTAAGTTATATCGGAGAATTTATTTAATATACGCATATACGATAAATATATTATTAATTGATTAATATTATTATTATTACTATTATTATTACTATTATTATCATTATCATTATTATTACTATTATACGATACGGTGTTTCTCATTAAATCCACGTCGAGCGCGTCGCTTAGCGAGGGGGCACGATTACGCGCGATTCGCCCGTCCCAACTTGTTTGTTCGTCAAGGAGGGAACAATTTTTTGTAAAGAAAACGTCCCGAATTTTTAGACGCGTCCCTGCACTCTCGCGAAACCGATTCAGAACACAACGATACCGATTCGAAAGACGCGACTCGACCAACGACCAAGTTCGTCAAATTCTTGAGAGAAATTACAGTTCGATTCTCTTTTTAAATAATTCGCGAGTCCTCCTCTCGATTTTAACTTCATCCGCTCGGAAACAACTCTCGCCTTCGCCTTCTCTGAGGTGCGTTTTAAACTAGGGGTTAGTTTCCTCTAGTTAGTTTCCTCCTAGTTTCCTAGGCGTTAATATCTTGAAAATCTTGAAACCACGAGAACAAATCACAAATGATCACTCCTTAAAAATGCCTGTGTCGAGATACTGTCAGCCTCAAATGCAAGCGAATCAGTGATCAAAGCGCGCGCAATAGAGAGGTTCTATTTTAAACTCATCCAAAGAAACTTTCCCACGGCATAACAGAGCCTAGAAATGGTCAAAATTGTACCCACGTCGAATCAAAATTAAAACTTCTAATTCGCCTTCTTCTAATTTCGCCCATCTCTGGACGGGTGAGCGCGTGCTTCGTGGCCCCAGAACTGAAAAGGCACGCTCGACGGGGCACAGGGAATCTCTCGCGGAGGCTTCGCGGGCCTCGATCGCGCACGAACGAAGGATCTATAACGCATATTATACGTATATCAGTAAATGAAAAAAAAAACCATGACATGTGTGCTCCTTTTGGACGTGTGATGCGTAACCCTTGCTCCAGCCAGTCGCAGAAGTTTATAGCGGGAACTAAGATAACCGATTTTCGGAGGAGGTACGCACAGAGGCCAGAGAACTGACGGGACAACGCTCGACCAATGCGTCCACGTGCATCGTCCACGTGGCAGTAGGGAACTTAAAGAGGAGAGAAAGCGAAAACGAAAACGAATTGTCTAGGGGGATAAAATAAAAAATAAAGAAAAAGGGGGCGAACGAATTTTGTCCGTGGTCTGAATTCCACGAAACACGTTTCGATCGGAGAATTACGGACAGCCACGTTGCGTAACACGTCTAATAACGTTGATCTTCTATGATTTTAATGTGTGTTCTTGCTACTATCCGACATAAGTCTGGCTCACAGACGACGAGGCTGCTCGCGCCTGGCGTCGGAAGTGAAGCCTTTGCGAAGGCCCCTGAAAAGTGGGATCGGGACGCGAGAATGCGAACGAAAGCGTTAAGACGAGTAGTCAGATGTCGAATTTTTTTCTTTTTTTTTTTTTTAGAAATAAACAGGGATTGTAGCGTCTCGAATAGAGGAATCGAAGCATTCTGAAAGTGATCTTGCGCTCGATGTGCCATAGAAACAATTTCGCGCTTGCCAATCGGGGCATCGAGTTATCGATTTGAACACGTGACTTCTCAATGCCGCTTCCTTTCTTTCCCGTGAGCGTGTTTAGTTCGAGTCGACGGGTGTCAGTGCCAAACTACGATTCCTTTTTGATTTTACGAATCGCGATTGAAAGCAGAGTTCCAACGATTGGAACGCTGATTAGTTTTTTGAAACACTTGGCTAGTCTCTAGGTTGTCGTTAGTGCACTCCTGGGTTTCGAATTTCCCGCCTTCTGCGGCTAGCCTCGCGCCTCGAGCATTGTCTAACTTTGTGTAAGAAACAAGCGTCGAGAATCACCTGATATTATCTTTTTTTTTTTTTTTTATATATAAAATCGCGCGGTTTTTAAATGTATTTTTAAACATTTTGTGCGTTCCTATGTTGTTATACTTTAGTGCCATAAGAGGTTTATACACTTTCCCGCCTTTTTTTTTATCGCGCGGTAGAATGAGTCTCATTTGGATGCCTTCCTGCCTTAGCCTTGATTTTATTTTAAAAGTCAGTGTCTGAGAACTGAATCGATTTATCATCACAACACATTTTCCCATCAGCATGTTGACCTTTTTAAATATGGCGATTCTTCGGGATGTTCTGAAGCGTTTTCAAGAGTCTCTTACGCCATCTTTGATTGCTCTTACACTTTCACGCAGTTTCACGGCGTTCTAGGATCCACTCTGTATATAACATATTTATTTTTCGGCGCGGGAATGCCAAACTTTTTTATATACGGTCGAACTTGGTTATAACGAACACGTGTCCAGCGATGATGTCGCGGCTGTAACCAGCAAAAAGTCATAATAATCTTAATTTATACTCCGAATTAATACCAGCCACCGTACCAAATTTTCGTAACTTCGAGAAACATCAACGTGCGAGATATTTGATGGTAATCTCAGTTTCAAGATTCACGGATGAAAAGACTAATAATATAAAAGAATGTCGTATTTATTATTAACTAGTATTGTTCTTAGTTAGTTGAAAATGAATTGCGTTTAGCATTAATATTAAGCGTTATGTAGTTGAAAAAAGCATATAGTACAGATAATATGCAGGCATGTAAATATACTTTTTTTTCTTTATCGTTTTTCCTTTTTTTTTTTGTTTAGTCTAGATATAACTATGAAATTTTATCAGGTCCCCCGGTATTCCTTACAATCGAGTTCGACTTTGCATATTTCAACCATATATATATATATATATATTTTTCCCCCAGCATTTCTCAACTGCTATTAAAGTAAAGTCCTCGCCCGACTCCCGCGTTTATTTTCGCGGTTTATCTCGTCGAGGAGCAGAGATGGGCGAAATTCCTCTCTAAATAAACTCTTCGAATAACGAATAAAAATTATTTATTGTCCGAATAAATTTCTGCCCATCTCTGTGGAGAAGTTGATGCGTTCATCGTCGCGTTTCCGAAGCGTCGATTTCTTTGGCGACGACGCGTCGCACGGCGGTTCATTTCGCGAAAAACGTGGCCAAAATTCAAGTTTCACGAAGTTTCGAAAACTCTTCCTAATTTTGGCCGCATTTTTGGCCATCCGGACCATTGTGGACGCGTCTCGACGGACGATCGAAATCGTGCGGAGTCCGCCGCGCTGCTTTATCGTGTAATATTTCTAGTAATAAAAATATCTCGTCGTTTTCGCTGTTTTTTCTACCTCCTCTATCTTAAGAATCGATGGAAAGCCGAAGTTGGACGCTACGGCGAATCGCGACGATGAGAAACGCGGAAATTATTCGCGGTGGACGGAATTGGGAATGTCACGGGACGTGAGAAAAGACTCCAGAATAAAGAAGGTTGAACGTGAAATAAATAACAAAAATAATGGTTATAAAACGTGTTAAGGAGAAAGTAAAAGAAAACGAAACGAGAGGTAGAAAAAGAATGGTACAGTCAAAGGCCACTTCCGTCAGCCAATTATCGGCGGCAGTGTAAGAATTACGGTCTGAAACATAATAAAGATAATGAAAGAATATTATTATAAAATGAAATGAATTAAATAAGATATATATTTGTATATATATGTATTTGTATATATATATTATATATATATATAAATATATATATACACACACAAAAAAATTATTATATATATATATATCTCTCTCTTCTCACTATGATAAAGATATACAGTGAATAATAATTCTATCTCTCTTTGCTACCAAGTTGTACTTATTCTTAATTGATTTACTTGTACAAAAGAATGTGTTAAATAATAATGAAATACATAATATAATATACATCTATAAATAATACATATTATAAATATATAAATATATATAATATAGCGTTAACTAATTATTATTATTATTATTATTATTATTATTATTGTTATTATTATTATTATTATTATTATTATTATTACGGTCATCGTGAGATACGGTTATTTTTAATTGTTTCATTATTGATTGTCATTATTATTATTACGATTATTATTATTATCATTATATTCCTATTGATTATCGTTACCATTGACGACGTTACCGATGCTATTTAACTATTATCACATCGTCACTATCGAATGCGAGAGAAAAACAAGTACGTAAGTGCGTGAGTGAGTTTTCGAAGCGCGGGAACCGCTGGTAAAGATAATATACATTGTGTATACTGTCTCCTACCACTGGTCACTATTGTGATGGTCGTTTCATGCTGCGTTACCACGAGGGAGACACGATTACAGCAGTTCAGAACTCGAATCTCATTTTCTTTTAATTAATTAGCTAAACTGTGGAATTATTTTACTAGGGGAAAAGATAACGTGAAGTTTTCTTTCAGTTCTGATTATTCGAATCAAATTCTTTGGCCAGCTTTACCCAAAGCAACACGAAGAAAACGTGATAATATAGAAAAACGTTCATGTTGATTCGTTTGTTAAGAGCGCATAGTAAAAACAGAAGAACGTTACCTGAACGCGAACCGTGTCCCAGCGTATAAACGCAGCCGCCTCTTAACATATTGTACA